ATAATTAATTCTGCATGGAAACTGGATAAAGAACAAATTTCATTTAACTATCGATAGCCATAATCTAATTTCGATAATTTCAAATTTTCGTTAAAGAAAATGATTGGAAAAAATTATATAAACGCAAGAAAGTTTATATAAGTATGTTTTCGGCTTCCTCTTCAGTATTCTGCAGAATTAATTTCAACGAAAGCCTTGCAGACTTTAATTCCTCTCTCTCAGTACGATTAAATTTTGCGAATTTTATCATGCAAGTTTATTCGAACACCAGTGCTTTACCCTCAATTTTACATTTCCCCAGATCATTAAACTCACCTCCACCCCTGAATAGAAAATCGATGCATGTCAATAATTTAGTTATTCATTATTAAAATTCTATACGTCTGTGAGACAGAACTGGTAAGTGATAAATTGCAGGCTTACATAATTTTTGTCTAATGAAAAAAATCGGTATCGTTTAATTAAAAAAATATTGCTCAAGAAAAACATAATGAGTTTGGGAATTTTCTTTCGCTGAACATTTTAACTAAACAAGAAAATTAAGAGGAAATCTTTATTCAAAATCAAAATAGGCCACTGTTTCATATGCCTCAAATTTCGAATACTATTGATGTCCAAAACAGTTTTATTAGTAGTTAAATTTTATTATTACAAGTTTGCATTTTTATTTTATTTAAGAGCCTTCTTTGTTTTTATGACAAAGCTGAATCTATATTTTTGAAATTTTATTAAGTCTGTAATGTAACTTTAACGCTAATCTGTAATATAACTTAGCTTTGAGTGCAAGAAGAGTATCTCATACTAACGTCTCACTCACAGGAAGCATGCAGTGCGTCATATGCTAGAACTTTAGCTTATAAAGTGACTGAGAATTTCGATGCACTGTCCTTTACTTTTGAATTTTTAAACTATGTACTTTATATTAGGGAAATACTATTTTTATTAGAGGAACAAGTAAATCAACTAACTTTTCATATGGATGGCAATTTATAAATAGTGACAACTGGAAAATGTGGCTAGTAATATTTATCCAAAAGAGTTTTTTATTTTCATCGTGGAATTATTTCGAGTGTTATTTTTTATAAACAAGATGATTTATAATTTTCCGTTTAATTTCCAAAATTTGTAGGAAACTAATTGCAAAAGTAGTACCGAGCAACATATAGAGATGTCTTCAAGATTGCACTCGTAACAAGTCTTTTCACGTAACTTTAGAAGTACCCTCTGAAAGCAGCCATATTTCTTTATAGTAGCAGGCCCGGCTCCAGTATTTTTGGTGCCCAAGGTGATAAGAACAGTTGAATTTGGTGGATATTAAATATATTAATAATTCAAAACATAATACACTTTCATTTACTTGTTGATTGTAAGAACAACATAGCTGGTGGGGCTTCTGAAAATCTATGCCTTAGGCAGCTGTCAGTGTCTCCTATGCTTGAAACCGACCCTGGGTAACAACGTATCTCAAGTACGGCATTCACTGGAGAACAGAAAGCTCCCTGTAACTCGTAATTCAGTAAATGAGATTCAGTTGTGATGATACAATGGAAATTTCGGGCAATGTATAAAGCAGAAATGCCTCCAAATAAGATAATTTGTGCGTGGTACAATAATTTCAAGAAGATTATTGACAGCATATGTGATGGAAATTGAATAGGCTGGATAGGACAGTACATTGAAACCAAAATCTGAGACATACTCATGGTCGCATTTGCAAAGTACTTCAAATTTTGGATATATTCGTTATTCAATGATATGCACCTCTTTGCTGCATTTGTTATGGTTATTGTAGAGTAAATTTTCAGAACTCAGGAAAGAATTAGAACCATCCTGTATTTTTTCAAAAATTTTAAATAACGTAACCTATTGACTCAAAGTAATCGTCATTTTCATATCAAAACTGCATTAATATTAATTACTTGGGTAATTGCATTTTTTTCTTGCATTACTTTTGTTTTCATTAAGCAGAACTAGTTATGAAAGCCGTGTTTTCATTCAGGCCTTGGATTCCAATCATTCCAAAGCTCGGTATTTTTCCTTGTTTAGCAATTTTTATTTCATTTAGTTATTATTTTTACTAGGCATTCATTTTCGTAAATTGCATTAATGAAAAAGAATTTCATATCTTTAATCTGAGTTGGTATTTTTGAAGCAACAACGCCCGAAGCACGGCAATCAACAAAGAGACGCAAAAAAATCTTACGTGTATTTTTATCAGTTTTTCTTTTTTTCTTTCTAATTAAGAAAGGAAAATTACATCTGTTTAATAACGAAAATAAAATATTTTTCATGCTTGTATGATTTGAAATGATTTTCGCATTATTAATAATTATAAACGCAGTCAGTTAACTCAGTTAAGCATATCATTTTAGAATATGGAAATTTTTTTAGTCAGTTTATTCATTAACTTTGAATAGTTCATCTCGAGCAAATAATGCATGCAGAATTTACCATTAACCTAACTTGCGGGAATATCTTGTAAACGAGCTGAAATATATCAGAAATAAAAAGTTTACAGAAAAATTTTAACTTACGTATATTTATTCTCTCAAATAATATAGGTTTCACAATTATTCCATTTTCTTTAGCACTCTCCATCTTCCTACTTATGCTATTTATCAGTTACTTTGATTTCTAATCATAAAAGCAATAATTTAGTATAAAGGGAGTTTTGTTGTGATTATGACGTAAGTTGTATGAGAAAGGCATTTAAATCTTCTCAGTCCATTTCTACACACCTGAGTGATTATTTGCCTATATTCTTGTACTGAATCTTTTGATTAAGTAAACATCTTTTAAAGAAAATATCCATATTTAATCACATTTACAAATTAATTACGTTATTTTTCGTATTTCTGTTATTAAAAACTTCCTCTGTTCTGAATACAACTTTTGATTCTTCCCGAGCAAGTATTTCAATATTACTACTAATATGATTTTTTACTGTTATATTTATCCAATGATAGCCACATTTAATCGTTTGCTTGGTTTAGTTAATTAAAATTATTTACTTTATTAAATGAGAATAATACGCTTTGTATAAAATTTTGAGTCTTGTCTCTCCCCTCTTTTAAACAAACGGAGCATGTAAACAGTTTGAGACTGAAGTTTTTCATTTCATTTTGTTCCAGTTGATTTTCCTAATAATAACCGGTGGTAACGGTTACTAATATATGTCAGTTTCCTTTCATTAAAATAGTTTTTCCTCATGGGAATGAACTCAATTGGAATTTCCAGGAGGATACAAAGGAATATTTGCAGCTGATGTATGCCAATACAAAGGCTGAAGCGATAAACAGTAATCGTAATTTTTTCAGCAAGTGGCTACTAGAGCATGTTATAAAATAATATTTGCATTCTTTGGTCATTAGCACTATTCATAGAAAATATTAACTTCTTTTTGTGTGCACATACGTTAACACATAAATATCCAAAATGGTCACCACTGGCTGCAGCACTCAATATGCAAAACTTGCAGTGCAGACCGAAGAATAGCGGATATGATTCTCACGGGAAGGGAAGGGCAGCTAATCTCAGACACAGGTTTTGTATCTTCAAGCATTCGAAATTTTGGGGGGGGGGGAACGAGGGGGATTTTATGACAATCTATAGCATTTTTTTCCTATTGTACTCTATTTTCTTAACACCATACAGTCTCTCCGGCACAAAGATGCCGCATAATTAGCAGGATGATGCATGACGCGGTATCAAGTCTGTTTACATTCTTCGTATTAGAATGGCGCCGACATGGATGACGCAGTTTCGACTTAAAACATAAAATTGAATTTATGTCAATAAATTCAAGACTCTTGGCGCATTTAAATCAAACTGAAGACATTTAATAATAAAACATTCACACGTAAACATTTAGTAATAATTCAGGAGTACAGATAAGCATAAAATAAGAATTTACAACCGTTACAGGCCAGCTACGCTTTTAGCGACCGAATTCTACGAACGACAAATCTCAAAAGCGTGTTGCCAACGCAGGGCAAAGAAAAGGTAGAAATTAATTCGACAGGCTTGGAAGTGAACAAAGTCTATCCTCTATATTAGCTTTCTCCCTCGCACACATTCTCAGTTTTTAAATTATACTTTAAAGTATACTTATGTTGCTCGAAGATAAATCTGACTACCTCTTTCATTTCGTGTACATTAATGTCTGCAACCTTCGGAACTAAAAACAAGACAATGTCTGTACTCTGTCACAAGCACTCAAAGTAGACACCGTATTTCAAATATAAAACGCCATCAAGTCATCTTCAACACAGTATTTGTTAGTAGTGCTTAAAAAGTGCAGTTGTTATTTAAGGTCACTTTGTAGCGACAAATACTGGTGTTTTACTTATAAATCAAGCGCAAGCGAAAGTTCTTCCACAACAGAATCGTCATTTTTTAAAACTTCAAGTAAATACAATGTTAAAGACATTTTTCATTGTCAAGAAATAAATATAATTAATTTTTTACTGGAAACATGCAATAGACCCCCTTTTTACAAAATGGGAACAGACAATGACTTCTGAAAAGAAATCTTTAAAGAATTCCTTTTAGTAGGAAAGAACTCATTAAAATATTTATTTTCAGTAAACCCAAAATTATTCGAACAGGTAACGGATTTCTTTTGTCCATCCAGACAATGCTATCATCATTTAAAATTCAGCTTTTATTATTATCTCCTTATCAGCTACATTTGCTGTTCTATGGATTTCTATTTTTTTCTTCCCCAAAATAAGATCTTACATTAAAGAAATATTGTAAAATGTTACGCAGTAAAAATTTGTTTCTTAATATTCTCTTTCAGGAATTCAGTCTAAAATTTCGTAGACATGCTATGCATTGCATATTTATTATATGAATAGTAAAAGATTAACTTATGATCCCTTTATAAAGTTTTAAACAAGTTATATTTCTTAGAGATTTGAGTGCCATTATTCATAAAATAATTTGTAATGTAAAAGCTTCTACAAGCCTTTCTTTAACAACATTTGTATTTTACATACCATTTGAATAATTCACCGAAGGGCAGGCTTGTCCTTTATTCATAAAATGATCAAACGCTTCATCTGAAAAAATACATTGGATAGGAAAATGTAAATATTTGAATTCATATGCACACGCAACTAAATATACAGTCAAAATAACCAAAGCTTATCCTAGTTTAAAAAGATGCACATTGATCTTTAAAAATTGCTACAATTTTTTTCAAATAAAAATGCAGCAGTAAGAATGTATTTCATTCTTTGTGCAAACAAAAGCCCATACTAGATATCTTTTTAATTTTGTTGCCCATCTGCTGTAGAAGAGTTATGATTGAAAGGTCTTTGAAGGGATGGTTTTCAAAAGATTAGTAAGGCTAGCATATTACAAGGTTTGGTCTCGTATAATGTCACCGATCTCTAGGCTGCAACTTTTCCCCTGCCTTCTGTCTTCGTTTCTCCAACTTCTGTAAGTAAGTGATGTAAGCTATGGGAAGAGCTTTGTCTACTGACCTTGAACGCTGGTAACAAGCAACACATTTCTGTGACTCCGCCATGATGGAGTGTGATTCTACCCTGTAGGTGAAAAGAGCTTCACGTAGCTAGCTGCGTTTTCATTTTTTTTAACTGTATTTATATATGTTCTCTTATTTAAATATGGGGTCTGTCTAAAGTAATTAATTTAGGCTCTTTATACTGCATATAACTTATTTATGAGAAAGGAGAAGGTAGCTTCCTTCTTTCTTCATTTTTCTTTGTCCCTTTGTTTTTTTTTTTTTTTTTTTTCCCTTTGTCCCTTTGTTTTTTTTTTTTTTTTTTCTTTTTCATTTGTATAACTTTAGGATGTATATACATATACATGTAAACTCATTAAGTCTTTGCCGTAAACTTTTTTTAAGTATGCAGCCAATTAATCCGACATATTTTTCGCACAGGAATTTATCATTAATGTAAAATACATATATAAATTTTTAGTGTATTTTCTCTCTCAAAGCTTTTTCTGCAGGATGATTTTTTTTCTCCTTTATCGCTGATGTTGATCTTACAATGTGACCAATGAGCACTAGAAATTTTTTGAACTCAATGACGAGTTGAGATTTTCTTTTAATGTTTGCGTAAAGATGTCAATACTGTTTTACTGAGCAATAAGAGAAGGATCAATTTTGCCCAGTACGTAACTAATTATGCCTATCAGCGATTAAGCACAGAAGAATACTGACCACTTGTTCTTCGACCGAGTTCAAATCCTGGCGAAACGGCGTGTGAAATGAATAAAAAGCAAATGCGTCCGTTTTAAGTTTTATTCTAAATTTTATTAATATATTTTTTATATCCTTGAAAGAATCTCGTATATCTAAACTCAATAAGTCGTTATTGAAATTATTATTATCAGTTATTATAAATCCTTGCTATCAGTTATTTTGTTCGTTAATTATATCAAACTAACAGTCTCATACAGCCATTTGCTTTTGCGAAAGAAACAGATGCAAAAATTAAATGTGTTTGCTGGCAATGTACTCCTCCCTCCCGCCCCCGATCAGTGACATTTATTCTGTCCTGCTTTCCAGCAGTACTCCAAACCTTGAAATCAAGTTTACGCATTAGTGGATAATATTATGCCTATGATGACCTTGATTTTTTTTGCTCTGGACTTGATACTAGGTGACATCATTCTCAATTAGTAACGACCGGTTTGCTCGTAAAATCTGTCTCTGGATGCCTATGATTTGTCACATATTAACTTCATTTAAAAAAGAAATGAAGGGTCATGAGGCATCCAAATGTTTCTGGATCACATTTTATCGCTCCTTGCTGTCTTAGACAGGAAGCAGGAAAAAAATTAAGTACTTTTTAAACTCCTTTTATTTAGAAGCGATAGCATTTTGTAATATTTAATGAGATTGTTTCTGAAAAGAATGTGTTTTTTATGTGAGTAACCTCGCATACCTTTGAAATATGTTAGATACAACACATGTGATTCAGTATGTGGTACTTGGGAAATGAATATTGGCATTTTGGGCTTAAGCTAGATAGATGAGCTTAAATTTCTAGAAATTTGTTTGTGCTTTAGATATTCGTCATAAGATGTGTCTACAAATTTCATCCTTTTTGGTGTTAAATCATTTTAATATTTTTGCCAATACGGGTTACTGGTATTTTCCTAATGTCTGCAGTTCATAGTACAATCGGTAATGTTGAGGTAATTTATTTCAGACTCATAGCTTTTACAGAATTTATCCCTGTATAGCTTAAGGGGCTCATACACCTTAAACCTCTTATGATCTTCGAATATGTGACTGCTGCAAGAATTGGGATAACTTATTTATTTTAAAAGCAATTACTCCCAATTTTTTATGCCTGACTACATAATATAGCTGCTTTCTGAAATCGTAATCAGAAAGTTTGTGTTGCTACAAATATTTTTATAATTTAATCCGTTTTGTGACAAAAATTTTCGTCATGTTTTCACCTTGCGCGCGCAATTTAAAATTATCTGTTGCATTATTTAATTCAATAGTTTATATATAGCTTTTATAACATTTGGAAACTACTGTAAACCAAAAAAACTGAGAATTTCATGTTAAATGTTTATTTTATTTGAAATTGAGTTTATAAAATGTACTTTATTAAAAAAATCTGTAATGTTTTCGTGCATAAAATTTTTTAATATTAAAATATTCATCAGATTTTGGGTTCAGTTAGAAAATAGTGCCCATATAAAGAACTCCATCAAATTTCAAGTATGTACCATTAGCCATTTTTAAAATATCATGTGCGCAAGTTGGAAAAATGGCAAAAATTTTGTCACAAAGCGGATTAAATTACAATAATGTTTGTGGCAACACAAACTTTCTGGTTACTAGTTTCCAAAGCAGCTATATTATGTAGTCAGCTGTAAAAGGTTGGAGGTAATTACTTTTAAAATAAATAAAATATATCAATTCTTGCAACAGTCACATAATTCGAAGCTTAAAGGGGTTTAAGGTGTATGAATCCCTTTAAATATGAGCAAACTCTCGCAAAAAGTATTATCCCGAAAAAATAAAAAAAAAAAAAAAAAAAGAATTTGCAGTTAACATAGCTTGCAAATGTTTTTGTAAAGAATGACAATAGAAAAGAAATCGAATCTCTCTATTCTTTTTTACGTTCAGTAGTTTTATTCTAACCTTCTTTTAAGGGGACTCGTACATCTTAAAACCCATAACATCTTCGAATATGTGACTGTTGCAAGAATTGGGATAACTTATTTATTTTAAAGGCAATTACTTCCAACTTTTTACAGCTGACTACATAATATGGCTGCTTTCTGAAATAGTAATCAGAAAGTTTGTGTTGCCACAAATATATTTTTATAATTTAATGCGCTTTGTGACGAAAATTTTCGTCATGTTTCCACCTTGCGCGCACAGTTTAATGCATTCTGTTGCATAATTTAATTCCATATTTAATATATAGCTTTAATAACTTTTGATAAATACTCTGAACTAAAAATTCTAAGAATTTCATGTTAATTTTAATTTATTTGGAGTTGAGTTTATAAAACGTATTTAAATAATAAAAAATGTATAAAAAATAAAATAAATATATAAAATGTATTTTATTAAATACATTTATACATTTAAATTAAATACATTTAATAATACATTTAATTAAATACATTTAATAAAATACATAATGTATTTTAATTAAAAAATATGTAAAAAAATAAATAAATGTATTTTATTAAAAAAATATGTAAAAAAAAATAAATAAATGTATTTTATTTTTAAAATAAATGTATTTTATTAAAAAAATGTGTAATATTGTGCCTAAAACTTTTTAATATTAAAATATTCACCAGATTTTTGGTTCAGTTAGAAAATAGTGCCCATATAAAGAATTCCATCAAATTTCAAGTACACTGGTGTACAAAACTTAAGCAACAGCAGGGTTTTTTGCTATAACTCCACGAAAAATCAACTGAGAGACATGAAATGCAGAAATGAAGGAGAATATTATGTACGTAAAGGATGACGAAAGCATCGGAACTGAAAAAGGAGTACAATGCATACGGTATGGAATCAAACAAAACCAATGTATAGTATGTATAGTATCGTGACTCAATGATTGTCTATCCAAGAGGAAGAACACCAAGCAAATGTTCCTTAATATGGGATATGCCCTCCCCTCACTGCAATGGTTGCTTCGCACCGTCTCCGCATACTCAGAACCAGCTAGTGCAACATTTCTTGCGGTAGGAGTGTCCATTCTTCAATCAGCATCTGTTTGAGTTGTTGGGTGTTCTCCGGAGGGTGTAAGCGTGCTGAAATGCGTCTCCCCAAAGCATCCCACACATGTTCGATGGGATTTAAATCTGGGGAGTACTCTGGCCAATCCATTCGAGTGATATCTTCACTTTCCAGTAGCTCCTCAACAGCAAGAGTCCGATGTGGTCGTGCATTGCCATCCATAAAAATTAAGTCTGGGCCAATGGCACATCGGAAAAGACGCACATGGGGAAGGAGTACCTCCTCACAATACCGATCCCCGGTTACAGACCCTCTGTCGAAAACGTGGAGCTCAGTTCTCCCGTTCAGCGTAATGCCTCCCCAGACACGAACAGCTTTCACGAACTGACTGACTGACACTTACAGCGAATATGTTGAATTGCTCTCCGTCCTTCCTTTTATTCTACTGTTGAGCTGCGCGTGCCGACATCACGCGTTTTGTGTACGCTCACGTCGCCTCTGACGTTTCGTTCCTGATATTTGCATACGCATGACGTTTCTACTGAATTACGTGTTCATTGTACTGATCTCCAGATCTCCTTTTCTGCAATTTCATGGCTATTTGCTAAATTTTTACATTGTTGCTTAAGTTTTGCACACCAGTTTATGTACCATTAGCCATTTTTAAAACATCATGCGCGCAAAGTGGAAACATGACGAAAACTTTTGTCACAAAGGGGATTAAATTACAAAAATATTTGTAGCAACACAAACTTTCTGATTACTAGTTTCCAAATCAGCTATATTATGTAGTCAGCTGTAAAAAGTTGGGAGTAATTGCTTTTAAAATAAATAAAATATCCCAATTCTTCGAACAGTCACATATTCGAAGAGCATAAGAGGTTTAAGGTGTATGAGCCCTCTTAAAAACTAGTGAAAATTAATAATTATAGTTATATTTCGTTCAATATTGTGCTCGTTTCTAAAGTAAACTGAAAATTTCTGAAAACATTTGAAATAAAGCGTTTTGTATAAATTATTCGTACTTAATGAGTATATACTGATCTATATAAGTATAAACTCAACTGAAATATTGAAATATCTCTAATCGAAACATGCAAAAATATACCTCATACCTATTTATTTGAAAAAATATCAGATTGCGTTTGTTCTTTCGTTTTGTATGGTTTGTTGAAGTAATCTTCAAGCAAATATCAAATAATGACATGTAAGGTCCTTTTCATTTAAAGCCTTCGGAAGTTTAACGCTCACTTTGCTTCATCAACTATGTTAGAAAAAGCTAAACATGGTCTTTTCTCATGTATTCCTCTGAAGAAATCAACGCTGTTTTTAATCTTCCGACTACTTGCATTTTTTCCCCAAGAATTGAATAAGGCTTCCTAATGTTTAGAAATTTTATTTATGACTTAAGAAGAGTCTTGAAACAACTCGGCTGGAACTGATTAAAGAGTGAGTAGTTCAGCACCTCATTGATCAAATATTTTTCATGCGGAAAATTACTGTATTCCTCTTCAGATACTACAAGTGATTACTTCCGGATATAGTGGACGACAAAGGTGATCCACGGAGGATTCGCCTTTGTTGGATACATTCAATTAAGTATTTTATATTTAGAATTTTTCCTAATGTATCCCAGTGATCAGATTATTCTTTCATGATAGCATAATTGTTTTATTTTCTATTATTCTACTTTTATGGTTTCATATAAATACATGTTTTATATGTGATCTAACATAGGACGTGTATGAGATTGCTTTATTTATTATAGCTTTCTGATTTTTTCTATTATCCGTCAGTATCTACAAATTTATACAATGGGAACATTCTATTGCATAAAATAATGGTATTTATTTTATGAAATAGAATGCTCTTTATGTAAGATATCTCATCTTAAAAGTAATTCTGTATGGATACTGAGACTAGCCATAAAATAATTACGTATTTGTTCGGTAGCTGTTATTGCTTATATTATAGATGAATACTTACTAGAGTGAAATTAGATTTTCCCGAAATGTTCTAAAGATTTTCTTTTGCATTTGCGTGATGCTATATGTAAAATGTTGGCAAGTATTTTCGCTTTTTATAGTGAATTTTCGTAATGAGGATAAGCCTAACATTTTTGAAAATTTCAAACTTAAGTGTGTGAGTAGAATATACATTTTAGCTAATTATGAAATCAAACAGACTAATTTTCTGTGTAAATACATATGTATAAAAATACCATTCAAGTGATATGCTAGTTTAATTCAAGAAAATTTTAACAAAATAAATATTTTAAATTTGATAAAATATTAGTAAGAGAAGATATATTTCTACTGTAAGAAACAGACAAAAAATGTAATCTAAATAATAAAATATTGTTAAAAATTATAAAAAAGCAAGCTAAAGTTAAAATTTTATGCCATTTTACTCAACTCATTTATAAAAATTTGGCAAGGTACTTCTGTATATTGTTTTTAAAAATTCTTTAATTTAAGCACTGCGGTTGTCAAAATGTATATAAAATTGTAAAGTAGCTTAAATTTAAATTGTTAGGAACTTTGAGATACCTTTTACCACAAATTTTACTGCGGTTTATATTTTATGAAATAAATATATTATTTACTCAAAAGCTTTTAGAAAGCAAGCATAAACCCTAAAGAATAAAAATAAAAATACTAAGCTATCGGGTACATAAATAATAATAATAGCTAAATGGCTTATTGACGAAAAAAGTAAACACTCTGAAGTGCCACTGAATTTGACATGGTTATGCAAATTTTGTAACACTGAGTCATATTTATGCTCACGTGAGAGTGTTGTGGTAACTGCGTGTATAGTTAGGATTATGGTTGTTGTTAATCAGTCGTTTCGATTGCCAGTATGAGTAAAACTTCTAATTTAGACACCTTAAATCACGGACAGATGGTAGGCATTAACGTATGGGACATTCAACGTATGGGACAATACAGATGGTAGGCATTAACGTATGGAACATTCAACGTATGGATTTCGACGTATGGGACATTCAATTTCAGAAAACGTCAGAGGGCTAGAATTTTCAAGGTCGACAGTGTCAAGAGTATACGGGGAATGCAAGGATGTTGGGAAAAAGAACTAACGATCGAGGAAATTGCGAAGGCAATGAGCCTCGATCGAGCGTGTTGTGAGACAGCTCAGCCGTATTTTACTTAGTCAACGAAGCCCAAAGATTAGCTTAAACTCCTACCCAGCCGACTCAGAGCGCCAGTCGTATAGTTAGTAAACGAATCGTACAACGCTTGCTTCACCATATGGGCTTCTGGAGCCGTAGACGCATGAGAGAACCATTGCTAGATGCATGCCATCGAGCAGCACTTCTGCCTGGGCAAGGAAATAGAAGACTTTAGAGGACTGGAAACGAGTAGGATACAGTGATGAGTCTCGATTCCGACTGCTTGATACCGACGGGAGGATGGGCGTCAGGCTCATAAAGCCAAGGATCCTGCATGCCAGGTTGGAACTGTACAAGGTCATGGCGGCTCAAACATGGTTTGGTGTGTTTTCTCTTGGCAGTGTTTGTGATCTTTGGTACTTGTACCATATCCACCCTCAATATGATTCGGTAGAATTGCTGGGCGATTATCTTCATCCATTTGTGTTGTCTTGTCATTCACACCGAAATGGAGTGCTCCAGCAAGCTAACTGCAACTATTACAGGTCCCGTTGCCTACTGTCCGGTCGGATGATCATTCCTCTTACTTTTCTATCATAAATTGGCTACCTTGACTTAAATTCTACTGAGCACCTTTCGAATGTTTTAGAGAAAGGTGTAAAACGACATCACACAGCACTAGCGACCCTTCTTGAAATATCGACAACTCTATCCGATGCTTGGCAAGGTATTCCCGTAGAATGCTTCCGAAAACTTATTGAATCTATGCCTCGTCGTGTGGCAGCCATAATCCATGCCAGAGGAGGCCAAACTCGTTATTGACTTGCTATCCATAATTCAGTGGCACTTCAGTGTATTTACAAACTTTTTAGATTCACAAAGGCTTTGTAGGTTTTAAATTCACAATGGCTCAGTAGATTTAGTAAATGTGTAGAGACATTAGCATTTTTTTTTTTTGAAAATGTGTAATGTGCTCGCCGGGACTCGAACCTGGAATGCGCCAAGTGTGCTACCGTTACACCATGAAGGCATGCGAAAAGGAGGGAGAAAATACCTTATAAATGCTAATTGGTTATATGGACTTATCGATAATCTACGGTGGGAACACCTACTAGATGAATAAAGGCTTATAGAACACAAAAATAAATAACTAAATATTTAGAATTTACAAATTGCAATATAATTATACCCTCTCCCCTCCAAAAAATAAGAAAACCTTGCACACTTGCAAGTGGAAAATATTAGCCAAAATAAAGTTATGTTTTTTATATGCGTACCAGAAATAATTAAATATTCTTTTATTGGATGCAAAATTTAATTTATTAACTATGCTTTTAAAATTTATTCACTAAAAAACGTGCTGTTTTACTATGTAAAAGATCTAACTATAGATTCATTAAAAAAATATTAAGAGTATACCTTCTGCTAGTCTAGAATTCAAATCATGGAGTTTTTCAGACTTTTTGCTTAACTCAGAACTGCTGCTTTTACTGTCATAAACCTGGAATATAAAATGTTTTTTAACACATACAAGTGAATATACAAATATTTAAAATTATATAAATATCTAGAGAAACAAAAGAATTCGACCAAATTAATACATTTCTTGCTATATGTTTATTTTTTAGAGGACAGAGCATCAGACTCCTTTACTGTTACTATTATTATTATTATTAATTATAATAAATATGTTTTTCGTTTTTTTTTTGGGTATTGTCATTGAAACATTTCACTACTTTAATGAATATATTGATTTTTCGTCATCCAAGTTCCCATTTTAAAAAAAGCAAAGTTTATATATAAAATAGATGCGAATGAAAATTTAAATTTTCTTTTCAGATTCCTAATGTCATGTTTATTTAAGCAGACTTAATAATATATCCCCCAAGTAAGCTGAATGTTACACGTATTCTATAAAAACAAGAAACGTTTACATTAACACGCATTTCTCAGAATTTCCGGCCTCTTTTCATCAGACGGCAACACGGAAAGAAAGAACTAAGCCACTAAATGATAAAATTTATGGTTAACAAGAAGGGCAATAACGTCTTCCCACTGCTCAGTAGCGGCACTATCAGACACTGTAGAACAATTCATCACTTTTTCTTGTTACATAATTTAATACTATTATTTTTTTGATGCTATTATTTCTTTGTGGAATCCATTATCAACGAACAAAATCGACTTGTGATAGTTGATTGCAGACGAGATAGTTTTTCACCTATTCGTGACAGAGAAAATGGCGCAGTGTTTCCATATCACGAAACATCGAATGTCACTCTAAAAAGTGAACACAATGAAAATGTCAATAACCTGCAATTGTGATCAATATGGATGTCATTTTATATTCTGAAGGAAGATTTTTCTTACATTTTAGCTTCAAAAGGATAAGATAAAGTTTTAATCAACTCTGTATATTATTGTAATTTGTAATGATGATTGAAGAGCTTTACTACGCGATATTAAATGTTATTGAATGATCGGACAATTCTTTAAAGTAATAATAAAGCAAAGATAAAACTCGTTTTTCTGAGTTAATTAAAATTTGGAAACAATTATTTCCAATATGCAACAATGCTGATAATACTCTTGCGAGAAGGCGTTTCATATTAATTTTAGGACTATAAAAAAACATTCTAGATGGTGATACAGAAAAGTCTCTCCATTGGTGAGCCTTTTATTTGCATACATTCATATCATCATTTGTAGATTTGAAGTTTGACGCTTTATCTTTGGCTAAGTACCTAGTGGGCCTCACCAGTGAAGACCACTGAATACCGGGAGTTCATCCTGGGCTTAATCCCAGGAGAACGGGCTGTCTTCGTGCTTAGGTTTCTTTTTCCCCAAGGTAGTTTGAACATGAGCTAGGGAACTGGCTCATGTTAATCACATCCATGATAGCATTCGTACTCTTAAGCAAATAGCCCGTATGTGCTTTGCTATATACGAATAGCCGAACTTAAATTCTTAGAAGTTAAACAGTTAATTTTGAGTTCGGTGTCGATGGCAGCTTGGGATTTTTGCATAACTTAAATACAAAGCCCTTCACTCTTGATATTCTAGAAGGCTTGAATTGTTTAATAATCGCAAAGAACATTAGAGTATCCGAAGAAGAAAGATATCTTCGTGGAGATCTTTCTGAGATAAACAAGCTTGTATTTACACATGAAAAAACTATGAAACGACGAGAAGAACCGTTAATTCATTTAGATATCTTGAACCGAATTTGAGAAAAAAACTACCAGTACTCAACTACTTAAACATTTGCGGTTCGTTATAAGGACATGCTTCATTAGGCATGATAGCTTTCGAGTATAAATTCTGAAAAATTTCATTAGAAATTAATCTTTTCCTTTATTAAATTTAAACGTTTTTATTGCTAAAAAATAAAAGATTTAATGAAGACAACATGTGAAGACAACATTGGCCAAACGGCCAAAATCACAAGTGCTTCTTCGCCTCGAATTCTTTTCGTTGTGTACGACGACCAAAATAAATTTTATAGAAGTTTAAGAATTAAATGGTTTAAAAATCGCTAATATGAGCTAAACGATGATTCTTTCGTATCCTGTAAATTCCCAACAGAAAGAAAAAAATTCCCTTGTAAATTCTGAAATGCACACCGAGTAACACTGAGCTTAATGAAATATACTAGCAGCTCAATCACATCTAACACTATCATTTTCTCACAGCATTCAAGACCATGAACTTCTATGCGCTTGTTTTAAGTTGTTGTAATCAGTAGATAAAAAAGGTCAATGGGTAAATGGTCATTGGGTAATTCACAATAACATAATACATGGCACAATAACATTATAACATAATAAATGGCAGGTTTAAACATTCGCAGTACATTTTCGAATTACCGCTAAACGTATTATTATTGAATATTTAGTTCTAATATAATCCAATTAAAAACGATAGAAAAAATTCAGATGCACTATAAAAGGCGGCGCACCTCCATTTATTCGTTATAAAATATTAAAAGACAGTTAGATTTTTTAACAAAAATTTAATAATTTATTTAGAAGCATATTTTTTACAGAAAAATTACATTTTTATAGAGATTGATTAATATATAGAAATGTAAAGAACAAATAAGGAAATTTTTTTTTGTCTTATTCCTGATAAACACATTTTTTTTTTCATAAAATGAACATTTATTTGGATATTTCTTAATACCTTAATAGTTTTCTGTTTCTTAAATTTCTTTTGATTTAATTTTATTTTAATAAAGAGTATTATTATCATTTTGTTTCCCTAAAAGCTTCATTCTTTAAACCTTTCCACTAGAGTAGTTTTTAGAAATAAGTTCAAGGATATACCTTATAAATGATCTCGTGGATTTGCAATTCTCTTACTGTTTCCTTCATTTTTCAAATTAAAAGACTTTTTGTAATAAATGAAAATTCAGTTTTTAGATAATTTACTTTTAACAAAATTAAGTATATATCTAAATTGCACTGCATAAAATTTAAGATCAGTCTTACAAAAGAAAAAAAAAATACTTGCTTAAAAATTCAGTACTTTGACAAAAATTGAGATCACTAAATCTTCGCAGACTTCCTGAATCAGCTTGGCGACATTAAATAATTTTTGCTTCTTGATAGACCCAACTGGAAGAATTTTTTTTTTCGAAATTTTCATAGTACCATAAACCTTGCTTAAATGAATACACCTTTTTCGCTGTTATGGGGGAATAAACTCTGTCAAAATGTAGGATTTGTTTTCTTCCAGTTTCTTAAAATGAAAATATGTTTATTTTCTTATTAATTAAAAGCAATGCGCATTTTATAATCTAAATAAGACATGGCAATATATTTTTATGCAAAAATAGTTCGATAATAAAAATCTCTCTCCCAGATTTGACATTTCTTCGTGGAACGAATGCTATATCTATGCAGTGATAATAATTATGTGAAGTGAAAAATACTTCTTTGGAATTGAATATACTAAAAATGAAAGCATTAAAAAAATTCAAGAAAGTATAAAATATCTCGCAATCCCACCAAATAGACTGTTGACAAGGAATACCGCTTTATTTCTGCCGCTATGACGAAGAAAAAAATGTTTCCAAGCGCTGTTTATCTGAATCAAAAACTTAAACATCATTCTGTAATTACAAGCACATATTTATGTTACAACCAAAATTTCATAACTGATTTTTTCCTAAACATATCATAACTTAATATTATTGTCGAGACTCATGCGAGCAAACACGAGACATTTTTTTCTGGGGAGGGGCAAGTTTGACTACGGGTTATCTCAATAAATTGCGTTATGTGGTTATGGGAAACAACAACTAGGATTATATCTGCCAAGAAAAGAGATGCCTTCGTGGAGGACTTGTAAAGGGAACTTGTGTTAGCGCTGTACGTAGCGAAAGCTACGTTCAGCGCTATGCGACCATTATTATGCGGCCGGATATGAAATACAGCCGATCTACCAGAGTTTATCGGTTTCACTTCCGTTCGTTAGTGGACCCGAATAATAGGTCATGGCTGTATTTAACATTATTAAACTTGACTACTGGTAGGCCTAAGAATATTTTAATGTATATTTAGTTCGTATAAATGAGATTTTTCTTGGTTAATTGTTCCACTATCCATAATAATGACCATAATATATTTTCGTTAACAAATTCTTAATTTAATTTTTAATGTATTAAATTTCGATATTTGTTTTTGTGAATAAATATATTTTTTTGGTAAAATTTACAATGATTTAATAACAAAGTATTTTTTCGTCACTTTAGTATTCTAAGATTAAAAAAAAATTAATTATATTAATGTTCCATATTTTAGGTCGCTTTATATAATTTATTATGGCTGAATATTTAGCTATTGTTTCACCCTCTAAGGAAGGCCTTTAGAGATGTCATTATATAAAGAACAACTTGCTCGTATTCAATTTATACACAAGGAAAACTCGGAAATTTTCTGCAGTAAGTTCATTTTATCGCCATGAATTAAATCTGTAATCCTAGCTATCAGTGATTTAGATTTCTCCATTTTAAGATATACCATTTACCTTTTCTAATGACAAAATATTATTTTAAAACTAGAGGAGCTGAAACTAAATAATCAATTAGTAAGAAACATGTAGTAGTGCAAAAATAAATCACCAATGATAAAAATAATATATTTCAGCAACATACGGTACGATTTCCAGACGTAGAAAAATAATCCTTCTTTATACTTGCAGTGTAGTTAGAATAGATTAAAAACATTTATAGTGAAAAAGCGCTGAAAGCTCAAACATAAGATTCCGAAAAGAAAAGAAGTGCTTATAGCTAGATTATACCTAAAAATAGAAATTTCAAAGCACCCAACTTGGAAAAAAGAAGGTTTTAAAGATTCTATAAAGTAACTAAAAAAAATGACATTTTCTCTGAAATACCCTAAGGAAAGAGGATTAGAATGTTGACATTTTTAAAAACACTATATTTAATAATAAAGAAAAATGAGAAATACGGAAAGATATAGAAATTTATGATTTTCAATTTACATCATATAACATTTTTATTCATTTGATATTGTTACATTTTCAGCTTAATAGGGTGATGAATCAACCAAGCATGTAGAATAGATTAAAGAGATAGAAAGTTTATAATTTCCTATACAATATGCATTTGGGGTACATATATTCGTTTTTATGAAAGAAAATGATATATATATATATATCACTATAGTAGAGTCATCTGACTAAGTTCCGAAAACTGCATTCGAAGCGTATTTCGATACGTGGCGAAACCTTGAGGTTTATTCCTCTACTTATAAATAAATAAACCTCAAGCCTGTATACTTTTTAAGGGACCTATATGCTCAAGCTTACGTACGTTTTCCTTTCATATGTACTTTTCCAAGCCTATATACTTCTATCAACATACTATATGCTTTTTCCAAGGGGGAGATTATTTGTTTATTAATTTAGAAATAAATGGATTTCCCCCTCTCTTGGAAAAAGTGTTTTCTCCTGGCGGAAACTTTTTATTATTTCTGATAAAAGTGGGGCAAGGTTGCGCAGGATTTCTTTAAGAAAAATAGGTATAAATCGTAGGATCTATGAAAAAAATAAAAATTATGGGTAGTAAAAATATCTTGTGTTATCGTTGCTGATATTTATTAAAATAAAAGTCCATACTCCCTTGGTTAAACTAATAAAATTTATGAACACGAATTTAATATAAGTTAGACAACCATTATTCTAAGTCTATAGCTTAAATCACACTGCGTTTAAAATTGGACAGTTATAATAAAACTTTCTTTTTCTCAATTGATTTAGTTGTACAATTAATTGCAACAATGATCGCAAAGTTTTTTTTATGACACAAAGATCACAAAGATTTTGTAATAGAAGTTACACCTTATTTACAAATTTCATTGATAATCTTAAGAGGATCTTAAGTCATATAAAACATGATTATCAATTAAAAACTCTTTATACCAAATTAAATGGTTCCTTCATTACATTTTTTGTGTATTAGGGAAAATCTTACCGATCCTGTCGTCTGCTTAGGAGTGTTTATAAGCGTAGTTGTTGCATACGGTGCAAGAACGCACGGTAGATCTCTTTTGTAAAACGTCGCCATGCTATGAGTATCTACTTCTGCGTAATCTGGAGCACAAACACTGAAAGAAAAATTATAATATTATAGTAAACTGATAGAAAACAATTTTTAGACGCAAATTATATAATATACAAGGAGAATTTTTGTCTAAAAATGACAATATATCAGTTTCAAAGGAATAAGAAGTATTCTGTTCGAAGACAGAATATGGGGCAAATTTTCTATAACGGCCTTTAACACAGTTCGGGCTATAAAAAGTGTATTTATTCCCCACGAGTTATTTAATATATACATATAGAAATCATTTAATATGCATTTGCATTTATTAATGTTTAAATTTTGCCGCCAAGTTCTTTAACCCCCCGAGCGTTACGGGTTTTTTCAGAAAACGACGTAAAAATAATCGTGTTTTCTTACCAGGACTGTCGCAAAAGCGGCAAGCATTTTTACTCAAACTGCTTCAAAAGCGGGCCCCCCTTACCATGTGGATATAATTAAGCTAATTCTCCCCTCCGTTGAATTTAGCGAGTGAAATTAGTTTTTCTCCCTATGGTATCTTCGTCACGAGACTTGTTGCTAAAATAGTATTTTATCTCCTGTTTGGCTACTTTATAATTTGCACACTAACACATATGCTATATATTATTCGTACCTTAAATCAAGATGTGTGCCGAATACAGAAAGTTAGTCAATATACATCAGTAAGAGAAACTACGTAAAATGCTTTAAATTTTCAGTTTCTTTAAGGAATTGCTTCGATAATGGTGAAAAATTAATCTTGCATTTTTTTTATCCTTATTTTCTGAGGAAATACTTTTTAATATACAAAGGGAATTTGTGAGAATTTTTTTCTCTCGTGTTCCAATTTTTCGAATACAAATTATTCGCAACTTATTTTAGTATTATGTTTATATTTAATTTTCAAATATTATAAGTTTATTTCCAGTTTAAAGTGTTAGATTTAAATGATTCTTTAGATTGCATCATAAATTTATTAGTAGTTAGTTATTTATGACACCGTTTTGACTTGTGAGAAATAAATAAAGTATTGTAATCGCGAAACATTTCGATTTTCATATTTCAAAGGAAATTTCCATTTTGAATAGTTCCATCATGACGTTTACACGTACGTATGACGCATAACTTAACATAAAATGTTGAAATTTTATGTTTGGGACTTATGACTAGTTTTAGCGCGACGTATGTCTGTACGTATGTATGCATGTATATCGCATAACTCAAAAACGGTTAACCGTAGAATGTTGAAAGTTTCTGTATGGAGCATCTGTATAACATCTAATTGTGCACCTCCCTTTTTTATTGCTTTCGGCAGTGCCAAAGAGCATTTTGAAATGGAAGATCATATCTCATTTTCAAACGAAATAGGTTTAAATGAAGTTTAGCAAAAATTGCGTTTCATTTATTTGTCGTACAAGGAAGTCATGTGGTGTCCGCATCAGATTTTTTACATTATTAATTATCTCATTGCTGTTACAGGAGGATGTTGTGTGTAAAACGTCCTTTAAAAGGTGGCAAAAACACATAAGTGTTTTAAGTTTAGTTTTATTTATTTGATTGCGGCAAAACAAGTATTCGTAAGTATTATCTGCCTAATGAAGGCATGCTTTCGTGGAGAACTGCTTAAGGAAAACTGGTTGGCACTGACGTTAACACATAAGGAAAACCATGAAAGCCTCCATGGAGTCAGCCTGTTCGCCAGAACTAGACACTGGCTCGAAGTACTAGTGTTCAGAGATATTACCGCTGTACTATGTTAGAATTTTAAATCTATGTCATCTTTAAGTTATTTAGCAGATACTATGTAACAACAAATTACTAAATTCTCAATGACTTGATTCAAGTAATTTTCTATAAAACTGGGCCTTCTGGTGGCCGATTGGATAAGCCCAAAGAATTTGAGTTTTCGACCTGGGCCAGAATCATGGCAAATGCCTGGCTGCATTTGTGGATTTCTCCATAGGGAGTACAAATGTGAGGTAGGTTTCCTTACAGAATCCTTCACGAAAGCATTACGCTCTTTAGGCAGATAACCTTAGTATTTTTCATCGCTTACAGTTAAATCAAATGAGCTTCCGATAAAGTGCGATGTAAAAGTAAAGTGTCGACGAAGTACGACAGTCCTCTATATACATATATCGTTCTGAGGAAGTACGATATACATACACAGAGAAAGTATGACATAAAAAAAGGCAGTAAATACATTTGAAGTGTTGAAACTTTTTTCGAAGGAGAATAAAATGCAAACAATATTTTGCTTCTAGACACACTTTCCAAACTGGGATAAATCAGAGTGCAGAATGCACTTAAAACAAATTAGCTTGAATAATTTTATCAAAAAACTTATTCATGAATGAGAAATCATAAACACAATTTTTTGTTATTTTTTACGTTCTAGAGACATTAGGTATTTTGGAAGCAGAAAAAATGAAAAATAAGCAATGCCGGGAAGCGAACCATGGACCTTTCAATTATGCGCTGAGCGTGCAGACTACCACACCACGAAGGCATACCAAGAAGGTGGGATTTGGCAACTGGGTTTTTAGGTCGCCTAATCCAGGGGAAGGAGAATCATCATCCAACACCCTTTTAGTTCGGGCGCCACTGTAGAGAAATTAGGTAATTTTTGGAAAGCAGGAGTGATGAAAAATATGCAACGCCTTTGCCTTGAATCGAACCCCGGACCTCTCAATTACGCGCTGAGCGTGCAGACCACCACACCACGAAGGCGGGAGAAATACCTTATAATGTAATGAAATTTATAAGTATTAAAAATTTTAATACAGCTAAATTAAAACTGTATATAAAATTAACTGCGATAATTCGATTCTTCGGTTATCGCCGTTTCAATTATGCAATTTTAATGTAATAACATAATTACAAAATATTTTTGCCGGTTTTTCAGCCACCTTCTAAAAAAGGAGCATATGATATGACGTGATTTTCTTCACTGCTTAGTTGTTCGATATATTGCTCATTAGCTGTTTATTTATCTGATGTCTCACTATATATGTTATTAAATTAAGCAAAACTTTATGTATAATGCAACTTAATATTTGCCTATAGCAGTTCTGTTACAGATCGGACATACGTACATATTATTTGTCTCATCGGTATATCATATACCTGGGAGTCTAAATTCCCTTTTCTCATTATTTAAAATCTGATAAAATTATTACCTTTAAGTTGAGGTAATCTGGAATACCTTGTCACGCAAGGAAATTTCCCTTAAATTGTGCATTTTACATCCATTCGGTCGTTTTTTTTTTTTTTTTTTTTTTTTTTTTAACTCCAAAATTAGCTCGTTTTGGCATTTTGCTAAATCGTTGCCACCATGTATTATCGCCCTGTCTTATATTTAAAGAAATTAAATAATGAAGAATCTCAATAAATGTACGTATGTTTCTCGCATTGTGATAAAACAACGGTACCTAGAGCCACCCAAATTTGAATAACATAATTTTCCATAGAATATGGGCACGTGGAAGCCCTAATTTGAATTTGAAATTTATTTTATTATAGATTTCAGATTTTGTAACCCTTCAACGAATTTTTGATTAAAAAAACGAAACGATTTTAAAGCGAGCAATAGCAACACTGTACGGGGAAAAAAAATTATCTCCAGCGCGAGGCTCTGTATCGGAAATTCTAAAGATATGTAATTTGAGATATTGCTGTTGAACTGAATTTTATAGTTTGAGTTACAATGCAATTTCCTTGTAATTAACTATATAAGAGTTACAATGCAAGTATTTATATACTACGTGCATTATCGAGATGTTAATAGAAACCAAAAAAAAAAAAAAAAATTCTTTGTAGCAAAATTGTTAACGATATTATTTCTCCAAGACATTTACGCAGGTGTGTATTCTTTTCATAAATGATGAAAAATAAGTTAACAGTTTTCCGAGCAGATGCTCCAAATTATACAGCTTTGAAGATTAAGTAATGAAAACATAAACTCTTATTTCTGGTTATGTGCTGAAAAAGATATTACCCTTTTCAAAGAAAACACCTAATAGCGGAATCTTCAAGTTGACTTCAACGTAAATATACCTCCAGGGGGTACTGAACTAAAAGCTTACCACCTTTGTACATTTTCTACTTTGTATGGGAGACCATTACCTTTGTGCAAGGACAATCTATAATTCTGATCTTTCTCAGTTTGTTCCTTTTGTTAACTATGACGAGAAATGGAGCTGCCGTAAATTCTAAATTTATTGCTTCTTCCAAAGACTCTGATTTCAAGTTGTGTATTTGCCGTCTGTTAGTAATTTAAGCTACCCTGGCTTTAAATTCAGAAACATCCTTTCATCAGTAATTACAGTACATATAAACACAATATCATTATTTAAATTCAGACTTTAAAATCTTCATCTATGTTAAACTATAGAAAGCGCAAGCAGTTTATTTCGTGAAAATTTATCACATTTTTCGTAGGAATTATTAAAACGGTTTTGTATGTAAACTATATATATATATGTAAACACACAGAACAAAACACTGTGTATACATATGGTGATGTATGTTTGTGAGCATGAGTGCGCGTGTATGTTATATTTCCCTATTATATATCAGTATTTTATTGAAAGTAGTTGTAGACGACATTTAATAAAAAAAAAAAACTGAAAAGTATAGTAAATCTCAAAATGCCATTATGAAACTGAATATTACATGAAATCGAAAATTTATGTGAAGCAACTATGGAATGAAAATAAATTCTAGTTAGGTTTCACAGCATACAAAATAACACTTTAATCTAACCACTTGAGTAAAACGAATGCCAAGAAAATATCCTGAAAATGTATATCGGTGAAAAAAATCTCCGGAAAATGCCTCACGGAAAATATGCATCTGGTTAAAAATATCGCTAGAATAATAAACAATGTAAATCTTTTTATCAGGTACATATACACATGCACCTTGAAAAATATTTGTAATTTTTATACTTTGTAGAGATATATAGAGGATTCTTTAATATTAAATATATTTTTCATTTATTTATTACAAAATATTCTTTCTTACTAAAAATATGCTTAATGA